CCTGAGGAGTCCTGACACCTCAGTGGGGTCAGTTTCTAGTATCTGATGGGATTTTCCTGTTAAGCACTGGAAGGGATCACAGACTGATGGCTAAAAGTTCTAGGATAGTTGTGATTTTTTACTTAGTTATCTTGCTCTGGAAGAAACACAGAACAACGCGACATGAATATCAGATTAAATTAACTAGTAGCTCCAATGGCCACAGGAAGTCCTTAATTCTTAAATGGGAAGATGGGCTATTCCTTTGACAACTGGCTGGCAAGTCATTCCAAACTTATTTTAGAAAGTCCTCAGGGATAACTATTCCAGGAACTACTACCTGAAGGACTTACTACCAAGATTTCTAAGAACTGACCAGAATTATATCCACAATACACCTATTTATTTCTTTATTTACTGTTCTTTTTTAAGACAGAGTCTCCCTATGCAGCTCAGGCTGGCCTTGAGCTCATTTTGTGGCCTAGGTTGGTCTTGAACTTGCAATAATCCTTCTGCCTCAGCCTCCTGAGTGCTGGGATGACAGGTGTGCACCACCACGTTTGGTCACAATACATTTTTGATCTCCAATTTTATCTCCCAATTCTTTCTTTTTCCCCCTATATTCTTTTGTCAAAGACAAAATTTACTTGTATTTAAATTGAAACAGGATGATCACATTCTAAACTCAATTTTTTTTTCTTTTATCTTTGTAAGGCAGGCTCTCACTATGCAGTTTAGGCTGGCTTTGAGCCCACACTGCAGCCCAGGCTGGTCTCAAACCCACAACGATCCTCCTGCCTCAGCCTCCCTAGTGCTGGATTTATAGGCACTTGTCACCATGTTCTGCTAAACTGAATTTCTTAAGAAAAAAGCGACAGCATTTTCAGAGCTGGCTTGCTTCCATAATATTAAATCATTATTTCTTCAAATACAGATTCTATCAGAGACGAAATATGCATAGCATTTAAGGGAAAAAGCCCATTGCATTCAGCAGAAAGTTGGCTTAATCCTGGCAATTTCACTAAATTAGCCCATAGATTTCATTAGCAAAACAGATTTGATTGAGGAACCAGGGAAATCAATGACTTTAAACAGTACAGATCTTCTGTGAAGAGATTTGACTACAAGAAGTCATTACTACCCCGGACAAGATGTTCTTCTGACCAGGGCATTAAGGGGCCTGATTCCTCTGTGTCTACTCAAATGCCTTTTTGTGTCTGACAGTTTGCAGTAACATTTCCAAGTCTGCAGTCCCTTCCCAGCCCTGGAAGGAGATTATGTCTCTCTTTGAGGGCTTTGGGTTTCAACAATATTCAGAAACCAACTCGGATTTCAAAGAAGTTGGACAAAGAGATGAGGCTTCCAAACAGAGCAGCCCTTCTGACCTCCAGCAGTGCCACAGGTCGCTGCCATTTCTGACACACCAGCAACAAACAAACAAACAAACAAACAAAACACACTAACACACCAAAAACATGTCTGACACTTTCCATGCATTTCTTAAAAAATAATAATAATTTGGGTCATTTTTCTCATGCCTGAATCTTGTAACCTGAACAACTTCTAAGATAACAATATGCAATATATTAACAGTTATATAATTATAATAGTTATATAATATATATTAACACTAGTTAATTTCCTACTTTTTAAAAAAATTTTCTGTATTGTTTCTAGCCTTTCTCTTTTGCTTTTTAAAAAAAACGTAACCACAAAATAACGATTTGCATGGAACAGAAACTGACATGCTTTTAGGATTGTATAGTTAGACAGCCAGCCGCTCTTCAAGACCTGTGACACTCAATTCCTGTCTCCACTGTCACAGCAAAATGGCAATGCTGTGTCCCCCGCACCCTGCGACCCTTTCTTGGTCCCAGCCGCCCTCACCTCTCCCTGCCCTGAACCTTCAGAGCAACGTGTACGGAACTTTCCCAAGTAATGTGTTCCCTTCTGATCACGCCTATCATGGTGATTTGTGTACCTATCTCTTGGGCTGCTAAGCTATTCCACACTCTAACAAGTACTGGGCCAGAGAATGAATGAATGCCTGAACTGGAGCGTGAAATGCGGTCCTAACTCCAACTTTCAGAGAGGCCTTCGAGATCTACAAAATAAAGCCAAAGCAGCTCTATCCATGCAGGCCACCTGGAGATAAGCCTCTTGTCTTACCAGAATGCAAGGGTTCACGCCTTGCTATTCTAAAATAAGATGGTAAATAGAAGAGTGACAGCCCGATGGGGTTGGTCCTGCTGTGATTAAACACATCTAAATAGCCATGCAGAATTCTTCTGATTGCCTGTCCTGCATTCTAGCAAGGAGACACTTATGTGCTAGGTGTCAGGCAAATAAAGGTCTAAGAAACTGTTCCTGCGGGCATAAGGATCCTCAGAATATCTTGGACTCCAGAGTGCACATAGAGACGTGAAGGTGAGTGCAAAGTTTCATGGACCAGCAGGAGGATGGACCGCACTGGACACTACCTCTTGGTGTCAGATCCTATGAAGAAGGCTTACTGAACTCGGGGGAGACTACAGAAATAGCTGAATGCTGCTTCTTCTTAAGCCAAGAGTTACCACCGAGAGGGACTGATAAAGAAAGCAGGAAGAAGAAGAAGGAGGAGAACAAGAAGGAGGAGGAGATAGAGAAAAAGAAGGAGGAGGAGGAGGAGGAGGAGGAGGAGGAGGAGGAGAAGGACAGAGAGAGAGAGAGAGAATGCAAAATATGCACACAGTGAATGTCTCATTCCTTCCAAGCCCTGCTCCCTCTGGAACATTTGACTCCTGTGGTCTAATGAGGGTCTCCTTCATGTATGAACCATTCACATCTTGGGTGCACAGACATCAACACACCTTTATTAAAGTCTCCCCCGAGGCTTCCTGCCCAAACTCATCTGTCTCTAATAACCATCGAGCTGCCCACCGGTTAACCACCATTTCCTTGTGGGCAGGAAGCACGTCTTATGTTTGCTTATTTTTTGCCCTACATACTGTAGATGCTCCATCAATGTTTTTTAAACACACCGATGGAAGAAAGCAACCCATGTGCCTGCCATCTGTGCATCACTGTGGGTGTAAGTTCTGAGTCCCTGGGAGGCTGTGAAACATCGGGAAGGTGGAGACACGAAGCACTGTCTGCACTTTCTCGCTTTGTGCTTGCAAAAGTCAACAGCCACATGTTTTTCTGCTTGTGTACCATGTGGCTTATTCAGACAGCCGCTGGGCTGAGGAACACCAAGGTGCCTCACACCTGAGGCTGGCCACATGATTCACTGCGCTCCCTGGCTGAAGAATCATCCCTTCCAGATGTTCAGGCACCTGCACTGCAGATGTGGTTGGGGGACCTAAGCCCTATCCACCTAATCATCATCTCTGAGTCTTTAGGAGATGGGCCGCTGTTCCAGAGTTAGATACCTTTATTGTGCATACCCTGTTGTCTAGGTTGTCATTTCTCCTACCCCAAAGACTAGCAGGATGCCTGGCCCATCAGGGAAATGGCATAGGCAATGCTTGGAAAGATTTTGCATTAGCTGCAGACATTATAGGGGGTTCGGGTGGGCTGTAGGGAGAATCCTCAAAAAACTAGAACTAGAATTTTCCATTTGACCCTAACACTCCCCTTCTGGTTAAAACCATCCTGTCACAGTGATGTGTCCATAACCATGTTTACAGCAGCACAATGTAGAATCACTACACCTTGGAAACAACCCACATGCCCATGGATGGATGAAGGGGTAAAAGAAAATGTGGTGTTTATATATGATGGGGTACTGCTCTGCCGTAAAGAAGGACAAACACAAGGTATTTTAAGGTAAATGGATGCACTTGGAAGCCGTAGCTTTAAATGAACTAAATCAGACACTCAAGATTAAGTACTTCATTGCTTCTTTTGTGTGTGAGACGCCCCCAAGGAACAAGATGGCGGGTAGATGGGAAGTCGGAAACACTCAAATGGGAGGATGATAAGAGTTGGGAAACGGGAAGGGATGGAAGGGAAATGGGATTTTAAAAAGAGAACATAAAGGGAGAAAACGGAAACAAAGCTTTTGTAAACATCGAGGGGAAGGAGGGTAGAAAGGAGGGGAAGAGCACGGGAGAAGAACCTCAGTTCTTCAGTCTGTTAGGTCCAGATACAGATTCCCTGTGGTGACTGTGATGATCACTTTGTACGATGAACACATATTAATAAAATGAACTGTAAAAAGTGAATCAGTGGATGGTGAGGTGGGGGATGATTCGGAATTACCTGCCGGAGACCAGTATACTCATGAGGTTCCTCCTTATAAGACAGAGGTCAGAGAAAGTGAAGGTGATGAGCAGGATATGAGGGTAAAAAGGAGGTTGCGAGGGGCTTTGCAGATACGGAATTGTGGTCCTTCGTGGTGGAACCAGAGTCAGTGAGTCAAGAAATGAGAACAGCCCGGGTAAACTGGCAAAGGCCAGGAAATCGTTTTCCGTTGGAAAGGACACAGTCCAACGGGGGTGGTGGTGCACGCCTATTATCTCAGCACCCGAGAGGCTCAGGCAAGAGGATCCCTGCAAGTTTGAGGCCAGCCTGGGCTTCAAAATGAGCGTTAGGTCAGCCTGAATTGCAAAATGAGACCTTGTCTTAAAAAGACACACACACACACACACACACACACACACACACACACAAAGACAGAATCCTGCTGCCATCTTGATTTTAGACCAACAGAGATAGCCACGTTGAACACTTGCATCTCAGATCTATGAGTTATTACAGCAGGCAGAAGGGATGCGAATAGAGGGGGAGAGCCATTCAAGTTCTAACCAGGTGCATAATAAGAGGTGCTATTTGCAGTTCAGGGGTACACAGCACCATTTCATGAATGGACATGAAACATAGGATTTTAAGGTGAGCAGAGAAGCTCACTCTGTTCCCTAGGTGTGCACTGCATGGCGCGTGAGGAAGTCTTACAAGCCGCCAAGAAATGGAAGAAGAACAGAAAATCTCTAAGTGCGAGAGTAAAGCAGCTGCTGCTGTGCTGCGAGGCCACGTCTCACCTTTATAAATTCCGTTGCTTCCTCCATGCATCTCCCCTTTGCTCGTCACCTCTTCGACGTGGGCTCCCTGGTCTGACGTGAAGTAGACCAGGGTATTGCTGGCCAGTCCCAACTCATCCAGGACATTCAGAACCTGCCCTGGAAGAGACAGACAGACGTCGATTTAGAGAAGTTCCACCATCATGAAGGTAGTTCATTCCTCAAGGCAGGAAGGCGGTACCTCTGCACCCTGAGGTGTAACACAATTGGAAAAGGACCTGTCATGACATGGTTCTTAGAATGGCCACTGACAGAGGCCACTCCAGCTGGCCCAGGCTTTGAGGTTCCAAAGAAGTAACCCACCCCAGGAGCAAATGTGTCTGCAACTGTTTTGGAACGAACTTCATCTTGCAATATTTTGCAGTAGACACCCAAACCTAGAACTGTCCAACACAAATATCAATATTTCTCATAGTTTCTGTTTTCTTTTTTCTCCTCCTTCTCCCTTAGCCTAACACTGCCCGCCGGTCCAACTTAACACGAACAGCAATTACAACAACAATATTTCCTGATTGCTCGCCATAGGTGATAGGGTGTGTTCCCTGTTCTCTGGTGTGTACCCCAGGAACCTTTAAAGTCACAGCTGCTGTTTTACTTTACACAAGAAGGCAATAGTGTTGTAAAAAGAGAAGAGAGCTGTTCCAGTTCAGAGACGCAGAAAGGAGGGGAACAGAAAGTAAGATTCTAAATCTCAGACTGCTAAACTCTGAACGGATCAGTGGGTGGATTTAGTGAGCCAAGACAAAGAGGAAAAAACAAAACAAAACAAAAGACCTTGAAGAACCAGGAGGAGGAGGAGAGGGAGGAGGAGATAGAGAAGGAGGAGGAAGAGAAGGAAGAGAAGGAGGAAGAGGAGGAGATGGAGGAGGAGGAGGAAGAGGAGGAGGAGGAAAAGCATTTCACAGAGATCTCTGGTCACACCCATGGATGAAATGCTGTCACTGACAATGATGTCAAACGATGTCCTTCTGAACTAAGGCTAGAACAGGGCAGGTGACTGTGGAGAGTGAGGAGGTCAGCCTGAGTCCACAACTGCTGTATATGGAAGAAAAGCACACAAATAACTACTCTACTGTTCCACTTCTATTCACGCTTACAATTTTCCTTAGGAAACCAGGTGTCATGGTGCCTGCCTATACTCCCAGCAGACAGGAGGCTAACAAGCAAACAGGAAGCTCACAAGTTCAAGGTCACCCTTGGCAACTGGAGGAGACTCTTTGCTCAAAACAATATTGCTTGACTTTAAAGAAAAACAAAAATAAATAAGTAAATAAAAGCCAAAACATGATTTTACTTCATGAGAAACACAACAGACTCAACAGAAGCCACCATGGCCCTTTAACAGAAGACAATGATCGCCCAATCAGAGAGGAACAGTACAGAATTTCCCTGCAGATCACACAGTTACACGCTGCTGGTTTGCAGTTCAGGACCAGAATACATACAGCTGGACTTCAACTGGTGCAGCAGGCTCTGAATCCATTATCAATTTACATCCATTGATATATAACAGTCATGCATTTCATGAGGTAGGATGGGATGTTTTGAAACAGGTATGAGATGCAGTTAAATAAAAAAGACAAGTGAATATTTAAATTAAAATGGATCAGGGTCCTCCCGCTCCTGAGCACGGTGATTGGGCGTTCACTTTGCGTGCATAACATGTACCTCTCTGGAGCCTTGCTACAAGTACAGGGCATTAACCCTCTGACTTGAACTGGGAAAACAAAAATGCATTAGAGCAAAAGACACATGGTCACGAAGCCCCCTCAAATGCCACCCCTTCCTTCAAAAACATTTATCCCATCATTCTGATGACCTTGCGCGGCAGGCAATGCCTGCAAGTGTTCTTCCACACACGTCTTTAGGTGGGCCTGGCTGCCTCAGTGCATTCAAAACACTGATCCTTCGTGGTCCTTTTGATGTTGGGGGAGTGTCAGAAGTCCCACGGTGCCAGCTCCGGCGAATACGGTAGGTGTCAGGATGCACATGGTGTCATGTTTTTATGAACCTGCCTTTCCCTGGGATGCCACTTTGCAGCAGCGTCCAGTATATTTTTTTTATCAACTCGTAAAGATGCTAGAGCAAAAGGACTTCTGTAACTGCTTCCAAAAATAGCAGGAATGATGGCACGGTATGTTCAAAGCAAGGAGCATTTTGTCAACCGTACTGTATACACTGTTTAGAGTTCAAGCCAGGGAAAATATATCTATGAACATGGATCCTAACCACTACAGATATTAGTATGGGGATTTCTCAAAAACTTGTAACTCAAGCTTCTATTATTTTTTGAGGGGTAAAACCATTCAAAACTCTTTCTCCTCTCTTTTTCTTTTAAAAACACACAAGAAGCGGTCGAAAGCTGTGTTCACCTAACAGTAACAAAGCAAGTCTCACTTGGCCCGTCTAAGCATAACTTCCTATTTCTTATCAATCTCTACCCCTTTACAGTCTCAGTCTCCCAGGCTGTGTAACTGCCACCTGCTCTCAGTTTTGAGAACGTCACCTTTTCTCACTTGTACCTGTGAATGAGATCACGTGGCATGCGTTGCTTGACATCTGGCTCTCTGCATTGAAGGGGGTGTCTTCCTGTTCCACGATGCCACCTCAAATGCCAGGAGCTGATCCTTCTTTATGATAGAACATGCTGTACCGCGTGTGTAAGCAACAGCCCCTGTTTGTACACGTTTGTGGGACGTAACGTGTACAGTCTCTGTGTGGAGTTGGTACACGTAAGCGACACACCTTCATTTTGTACCATCCCCTCTCTCCTTGTGTCTTCCAATTCTTGGTCTTCTTCCCACTTGAGAAAGATGCATCTCTGACCTCCTATGACTCGGTTATCTATGATTTTGCACTTTATTTATATTTTGGGTTTTATCTGATATGTAGGCTTGTGTGTCTGATTTATTTCACTCAACATTATGACTTGAAGGCACACCCATTTTCCGACCAACGCCTCTACATCGCTTGTAGGAATATAGAGCATCCACTGTGGGTTGTACAACACTAGAAGCATGCAGATCCCTCAAAAACTAAAACTATGAGTCCCATTTGACCCGACTATTTATTTGTAGGTATCTTCCCTAAACAGTTAAAAACTTTGCATCACAGTGATCCATTGTGCCCATGTTATAGCAGCATGATTTTTTTTTTTTTTTATTTAAGAGGAAAAAGAGAAAAACACAAAACAAACCAAAGCGGCGTAAGGGTACACACAATACAGAACTACAAAACAAAACAAAACAAAAAACCATAACAGTAAGAAATTACCTGCTAGTAGATTACACACTATTTTCTTGAAAATAGTTCCTCAAATCACAGTATCAAAGAACACAAGGTGGACATTCAAACAGGGAGACTGCAAACAGCTGTGTTCAATGTTCCAAAAACATTGATAAAGTCAGCTATTTAACACCCCCAAACACACTTGCTGTTATATCCGTTAGAGCTCCTTTTCTTTTTTTTTTTCCCTCTCTTTTTTACAACACAATTTACACATCTTGAATTTTATTACTCCTTAGTGCTTATTACTTTCTTTGAGGGGGGGGAAGAATACAGTCAAATATGGCAAAACAAAGCTGTCAGTCAATACCAAGGATAGACGTAGCACATGGTGTAGAACAGAGTACAAGTTTATCAACAATGGTTATCAACGTTGTCCCTTATTTCCTTAAAAAGAATTGTCTATCTTATTAGATATTATAAAGTTGGACAAAACAGTAGAGAACAAGACCAATAAAACTTAGGCATTGTAAACATTACAGGACTTCCAAAGAAGACAATAGTCAAACCAGAATGGGTATCTTAGTGAATCTTATTGTCTTCAAAGTAGTTGCCTATGTCTTCAAACTTGATACTATCATATAGAATGGAACAGAGTCTAATCAGTCAAAACAAGATCATGGGAGTACTACAGGACTTCAAAACAAGTTAACAGGAAATCGAAAAGAGTTACTATTTATATATCCTAATTTTTTTGAATTTTTTCTTTAATTAAGACAAACATAAGAAATGACTAAATAATTTTTTTTGAAACAATAAGGGGGAGATTGAGATAAAACAGGACATAACAATATAACAACAGAGGTCACAGCATGACTGTTTCAATAACCTAGTACTTCACCACCTTATAACCTGACTTAATAGCAGTTACCATAGTGTCTTTTTCCTTGAAATATTTGGGTAAAACTTCATATACTCTAGCTTCAAATATTTTCATATCAAGAAGCCCAGAATAAAGCTTTTCTAATTAATGAGTGAAAACTTTATAAGGCTTCAAGGCCACCTAATGGGGAATCATGATTACCACATATTTTTATATATTTGAATCATTACTTACATTAGGGAAACTATTCGGTATTCACACATGCGAGATTGATTTATTTCACTTATGAGTATGGTCTCAAGCTGTGCCCATTTATTGATAAATATCTCAATGTGATCCTTCTTTATAGCTGAATAATACTCCATTGTATAGAAATACCACAACTTTTTTATCCATTCCTCAGTTGATGGGCACTTGGGTTGTTTCCAAGATCTGGCGATTACAAATTGTGCTGCTATAAACATAGGTGCACATATATCACTGTGTCATGATGCTTTCAGTTCTTCTGGGAATATGCCTAGAAGTGGAATAGCTGGAATAAATGGGATTTCCAGTCCCAACTTTTTGAGAAATCTCCAGACAGATCTCCACAAAGGCTGTACCAGTCTACACTCCCACCAGCAGTGCAGGAGAGTTCCTTTTTCCCCACAGCCTCTCCAGCATTTGTTGTCGGTTTTCTTGATCCTGGCCATTCTTTCAGGAGTGAGATGGTATCTCAGTGTGGTTTTAATTTGCATTTCTCTAATGACCAATGATGATGAGCATTTTTTCATGTATTTATTTGCCATTTGCATTTCTTCATCTGAGAATTGTGTATTCATCTCAGATGCCCATTTTTGGATTGGATCTTTGAATTTCGGAGGTCTGAGTTTCTTTAATTCTTTATATGTTTTAGACAAGAGGCCCTTGTCTGAGAGAGAGTTCACTAAAATCTTTTCCCAGTTTGTGGGTTTTCTTTTCACTATGCTGGAGATTTCTTTTGACATGCAGAAACTTTTTAATAAGAAGTGGTCCCAGTTATTGATTCTGGGAAGTATTTCCCGTGCGGTTTGAGTCCTGTTCATGAATTCTTTACCTACTCCTATGTCTCCAAGGTTTCTACCTATTTTGTCTTCCAATAGATTTAGTGTTTCTGTTTTAATATTCAGATCTTTGACCCATTTATATTTTAATTTAGTACATGGTGATAGACATGGGTCTAGCTTTAGTTTTCGGCAAATGGAGAGCCAGTTTTTCCAGCACCATTTATTAAAGAGACTGTCGTTCTTCCAGTGAACCTGCTTGGCTCCTTTATCAAAAATAAGGTGGTTGAGTGTGTTCGTAGTTGTGGTTGTATCTTCTAATCTATTCCACTGATCTTCAGCTCTGTTTTGATTCCAATACCATGTTGATTTTACTACTGTTGCTTTGTAGTATAACTTCAAGTCAGGGATTGTGATGCCTCCTGCTTTGTCTTTGCTGCTTAGAACTGCCTTTGCGATTCTAGGTCTCTTCTGGTTCCAGATGAAATTTAGGAGTGATTTCTCTAGATCTATAAGGTATGTTGATGGTATTTCTATTGGGATTGCATTGAATCTGTATAACAGTTTTGGGAGAATGGCCATTTTCACAATGTTTGTTCTTCCTATCCATGAGCAAGGGATGTCTTTCCATTTTCTGAGATCATCTTCAATTTCCTTTTTCAGTGTATTATAATTTTCACTGTATAAGTCTTTCACTTCTTTCGTAAGAGTAATTCCTAAATATTTCATTTTTTTGCTTGCTAATGTGAATAGTCCAGTTTCTCTTATTTCCCTCTCTGTAATTTTGTTGTTCATGTATAGGAATGCTATTGATTTCTGAGTATTGATTTTGTATCCAGCCACATTACTGAATTTATTTATTGTATCTAAGAGTATTTCAATGGAGTTTAGGGGGTCTTCTATGTAGAGTATCATGTCATCTGCAAACAATGATAATTTAACTTCTTCTTTTCCTATCTTTACCCCTTTTATTTCTCTTTCTTGCCTAATTGCTCTGGCTAGTACTTCCAGTACTATATTAAATAGGAGTGGTGATAAAGGACATCCTTGTCTTGTACCCGATTTTAAAGTAAAGGGTTTCAATTTTTGGCCATTTAGTATGATGCTGGCTGTTGGTTTGTCATAAATGGCCTTTATTATATTGAGGTAAAGACCATTTATTCCAATTTTCTGTAAAGTTCTTATCATGAATAAGTGTTGGACCTTATCGAAGGCTTTTTCTGCATCTATAGAGATGATCATGTGATTCTTATTTTGGCTTTATTGATATGGTGGATTACATTTATTGATTTGCGTATGTTGAACCATCCTTGCATTCCTGGGATGAATCCCACTTGGTCATGGTGTATAATCTTCTTGATGATTTGCTGGATCCTATTTGCCAATATTTTATTGAGGATTTTTGCATCTGTGTTCATTAGGGAGATCGGTCTATAGTTCTCTTTTATAGTTGGGTCTTTCTCAGGTTTTGGTACTAGAGTAATATTTGCTTCCAGGAATGACTTAGGAAGGATTGCTTCCCTTTCAATTTCATTGAATAGTTTGAGGAGTGTCGGCATTAGGTCTTCTTTATATTTCTTGTA